ATATATAAAATCTACTTAGGACCTCAAAATTATCAAATCTACTTATGATCACAAAAGTATCTCAGTCAAAGTATCTCAGTCACCTTAGATGATGCTGGAGCCCAACTGGCAAGGTGATGGATGATGTTTAACAAGAGTAAATGTAAAGGGAACAAATAATATGGTGGATCGGGTGTAAGTGCAGTGAAGAGCTCCGTCAACAACAACACAGAATATGGACCAAGCAGGCTCAGGGGATGGTCCCAGAACTCTGAACCACATATAAAAGAATATTTAGAAGGTTGGAAGGCTTACAGCTACGGGAATTTGTAGCAGAAACAAGAAACCCATTGCTTTCTAATTCAAGGCACTCAGCTGCTCCTGGAGCCGTCATCTTGGTAGAGACCAAGCAGGGGAAGGATCAGAACAGCCATGGATGCCTGACAGAACCACGGAGATAAAGGCACGGACATTGTGTGGGGTTTTTTTTGGTATCTGTTCATTGGTCTCTTGCTGTCTGCGCACCTCCATTCTGGTGATTATAGGGGGTGCCTGAGCGAGTAGACACCCCGCCCCCACCCCAAACCCCACCCCCACCCCAGGAGGGTTCTACTACGCATGCACACAGTTCTCTTCGAAATTTAAACTGACAGTTTCCACTTAAAACCAGATGACCACAGCCAGCCCTGAACTATTTATCACTAGGAAAAAGGCCTGAACAGGGATTGTGGAGCGGGACAGGCAGACTAAAAAGGAAACAGGCGAAAATTAAATCCTGACTTATGTTCCAATGACCAACAGTGGCATCTTGAAATTTCTCAGGAAGAAGAGTGAAAACAGAAGCCCATCTCCTGATCACGTCTACCTGGAGGTAATCAGAAAGAATAAAAAATACCAAAATACAGACCCATCTAAGTATTAAGGCCACAGATAACTCTTGAATATGTCCAAAAAACAGAAGTAGATGACCATATCAGCACATGTCCAGAAACGAGATAAAATGACTGAGGCAGATGAGCTGGAAGTAGACCTACACTTCCATACTAGAAGATGGGCAGGCTTTGGAAATGCCTGAGAAGGGATTCAGAAAACATGATTATAAAATGTATCAAAACACTATACAATGGAGTTGAGAAAAATAATAAAGAAATCAGGAAATCACTACAGGAACAATCAAATAAAATAGATACAGCATTGGAAACAATTCAAAACCTACAGAAAGAGGTCCAAACGATTAGTAATAGAATATCAGAAATGGAAAATACATTGAAAGGGCAAAGGAGTAGAATTGAAGAGTTAAAAGCCAGAACTAGTGAGCTAGAAGATAAATCTCTCAACACTAGTAAGATAGAAGAGCAAACACAAAAAAAGGATATAAAAAAAAAATCTGAAGAAGGCCTAAGATTCATGTTGGACAACATGAAGAGGAATAATTTAAGAATTATCAGCATTCTGGAACAGGAAGAATCACACAAGTCCACAGAGGAGATAGTTGAAGAGCTTCTGGAAGAAAATTTTCCTAACATCCTGAAAAGCAAATAGATAAGCATTCAAGAAGCTCAATGAACTCAAGGAAGGATAGACCCTAAAAGACAATCACCAAGACATATAAAAATCAAGCTCTCCAAAATCAAAGGTAAGGACAGAATCCTAAAAGCAGATAGGGAAAAGAGAAGTGTAACATACAAAGGCAAGCATATCAGATTAAGCTCGGATCTCTTAACAGAAACCATGCAGGCAAGAAGGCAATGGGGAGACATATATAAAACCCTGAAAGAAAAAAACAAAAAACAAAAAACTGCCACCCAAGAATCCTCTATGCAGCAAAGCTGTCAATCAAATACAATGGTGTAAACAAAACATGCCAAGATAAACAGAATCTAAGGGATTTTGCCAAAGGCAACCCTGCTATGAAAAACATCCTAAAGGAAGTTCTGTGGACTGAGAACCAACAAGAACAGACAACTAGAGAATGACGTACGTGGAAGCATCACCCTGAACTCAATTGACAAATGGAAGAGTCAAGAACAGACTAAAATTATAAGGTCAGTCTATGATCAAAACAATTACAATGTGAAAGAAGGTAAACACAGAGGAACAGATATCCAGGTGGTGGGAAGGTCAGGTAGATTACAGGATAAAATAGACTGTCTTAAATGGAGGGAATAATTAATGGGGTTGAAGTGGGGGGTTTAGTTCGGGTGTTGGGGAG